TTTAAATCCTTCCGGAATCTAGATTTCAAATGAGATATTCTGTTAGATATCCTAGATTAATGATATTTATCAATCTGGATTTTACGTAGAACTAATATAGAATCTCTTGAGATCGTATAATTTGAATATTCGAGAATTGAATGAAGATTCATTCATCAGATATAATAATATCTAATGAGATATGATGAGATATATAGAATTTCATTATCATCGAATAATATATTGATGAGATATCCTTCTATATTCATTGAATCTTTTCTAATATAGATATAAATATTGAGTATAATATCTTTATATATCCCTGAATCTATATATTTAGATAGAAATTGATATATATATATATCTATATAATTATCAATTCTATTTCCATTTTTAATAGGATCAGATTAAGATTCTCAATATCATATCAAGAAAAACGATAGGATATAGAATATAAATATATAATTTCTTTTTCAATCATCTGAATCTAGATATCTAGGAAATCTAGAATTTTTTTATGATTTGATTTTGAAATCAATATGAAAAGAAATAGATGATATAGAAATCCGAATTCTCGAGATCTGAATAAGAATTAGAATTCATCCGCTGTCTATAACAATAGAAGATATTCATTTCAAAGAATACATAATAGAAAATCCGATGATCCTCATATATGAAATCCGATGAATTATCAAGATTTTAAGACCGCACGAGATATAGATTCTGAAAGATCTTAGATCTCCGTTCCGGATCTTCATCTTCCGCCGAGCCGCTGCGCAGACATCCAAGGAGAGAGAAATAATTCGAAATCTTCCGAGATTTTGATCTTGAATCCTTTGATCGTGCGGGCAACGTATCCAACCCGATCTTTCCGACCCATTTATCTCTCTTGGGCTATCTGCGCGGCGGGTCGAGAGAGTGCAAAAATCTCCGTAAATAGATAGATTCAATCTATAAATGCTATACGATTTTGATTCTCCGTCCTAGATCTACGTGCTCCCCCGATCAATCGCGCTGATAATCAAAGAGAGATAAGTCACGCGGAATATTCAAGATCTTGACGACTAAATAATACTAATAAGTCCGCATATAATAAAAAAACGATCAATCTAATAGATTCTGAAAGATCTTGGAGCGGCCATTCGACTTCCGTAAATAGATATAGCCAATCTCTAAAACTTGATTCTCCATTCCGGATCTATATTTTCTTCCGAATATTCGCACCGACAATTAAAGAGAGATGAATCACGCGGAATATATAAGATCGCACGTAATATTCGACGAACGACCAATCTAATAGATTCTGAGAGATATTAGATCTCCGTCCAGGGATTCTGCCGAATTGCCGTGCGGATAGCCGAAGAGATAGAAATTGATCGAAATCTCGAGAGACATCGGCTCGCGTAGTCCCCGAATCTAATTCAATCTGTCTATAATACTTATCTTTTTTAGGCTATCTTCGCGGCGGCTCAGGGGAGCGCATATATCTCCATAGCTAGCTCATCTAAAAATTCTGCAGCAAAATGAAATCTCTATCCGGCATCTATATTCTCCGCCCAACAAATAACCAAAGAAAGATACCCCACGCGGAAAATCATTCCAGAAATAAAAATCACGCGACCAAAATTCTCCGAGATTTTTTAGTCGCGCCATCCATATCAAAAATCTTGCAGAATTTAGAGCCCTAGCTTTTATGAAAAATTCCAAAATCTCTGAAATTTTAGAATCTTAGAGACCCCATAAGAAATATATTAAAAATGAATATAAGAAGTTACGAAATCTCACAATATCCTTTCTAATCCTACCAACTAGAAATCTATTAGAATAACATCAACATCACGAATCATAATCCTATCCATTATTTCTATTTATATAGAAGATGATAATTATATATTAGAAAACTTAAAATAAGAATAACAACGATATTAAAAATGATCATTATATTTGAAAAATATATATTCTATATATCATATATCATCTTATCCAAATTTATATGATCAATATTATATATCAATATTAAAATTCATAAAAAGATATATTCATTATATAACAAATATATTTTCATGAAATATGACGATTTCAACGATCAAAATCATTAGATTTTTCTTTCATTAATAATGAATATTTTGAAAATTATTAATCAATATTATTTCGATTATGAAAGTTATGATATCATCACGTAATCATCATTCAAATAAATCCAATTTAATCAATCAAAATGATATTTCTTTCGATATTAAATCGAATAAAAATGTGGTAGATTTAAATCAGAACGAAAAATCATCAATAATTTCTTTGAAGAATATTTTGACGAATTGATAGTTCTCGCAGACGATAGAATTTTCAAATATGTGTTTATATTATATCGGATTTTCGAATTTTCCGAAATCAATTTGATATTACATTTTTTTATTTCCAATTTTTTAAGAAATTGTTATGATAAATACTGATAAAATATCATTCATGTTCTTGTCATATCGATATTACTATCAGCTAGTATCAAAACGTTTCCTATTAGATGCGCTGAGGAAGCGGAAGAAGGCCCAAATAGTTCACGCAATTTCTATTCTTGCCGGCGAGGATGCAGACAGGATCCCCCAGTTACTAAAATATCCAAAAGATATTTTCTCTACGCTAAGTGTTGGGCTTCTTGGCCTTGCAATACTAGGTGGCGGGTGGTGCCGACTGTGGAGCACCAGCCAACAGCCCATTGAATCATTGACGGTGCCCGCAGGCGCCAATACCCAAGAGGTTTTCTCGGGCGCTGTATATTGTGACCCTATCAACGCATATCAACGCTAATGCCCGCTCCAGGGCATGCTGGGAGTTAGCTGGGCCGCCTAAGTGCTTGCAACACCAGCCGCGTAGCAGCAGCAGCAGGATGAGGACCAGCTGCGGCAGCGGCACGTTTCTATCACCGTCGCACCATCACCATCAGAACCTGTCGAACATAATGCAACTTTGTTAATGTGATCGCGGTGTACTGCAATGTCGGCTTCATTGGCCTGGAACTGCTTCCCGTCTGGTCTATGTGACCTGTGCTACTGCTTTTGTCTCGTCTTGCCTGGGAGGGCCTGTCTGCCTCTGGGCCGTTAAAGTTGGGCAAAGCCCAGTTGTGCAAGTTCCAGCGATTGAGGGGCTGACACCATGCTTTTGAGGACCCACGCCAGAATTGTGCCGGGCGCGCCGTTGGGACTGTTCGGCGCGTGCGGCGACACAGTCACAAAAGGCCACGGAACGCCTGGCCAAGAGCATGCAGGCTACAAGCCTGGAGGAGGAGCAACGAATGTCCAATGATGCTGGCCTCATCACGGGCCTTGGGGCTAGTCTTCCAAAAGCTTCACGCTCATAATGTTTTTTGTTCTAGCGGGCGGAGGCCTGGAGCGCATGTTGATTTCAGACTGCTTTTGGATGCTTTTGGGGTCCGGAGGCCCCTTGGAGAGAATGCAGTGCGCGCGCCGAGGGTGGACTCTGATTTACGGCAGGCGCACGCGCACGCGCGGGGCGTGATCCAAGCATGGCCTTGACAATGCTAAAAAAGCGTCTCCCCCCTGGTGTCAGCTCCTGATTTTGGGCTGGCTCAGAGGCAGGTAGGGTGCCGGCCAGTGCCGCAGGCAGTAAATCTGTGCCTTATCCCAGACCAGCATACGTTGTATCTGATGAATAAGAACTCAGGACCATGAAAAGCTCAATGCTCTCAGGACCAGCATGGAGGTAGCTTGCAAGATTGAAAAAACGACCACGCTCGACATGTGTGCGGAGTGCCGGGTGGCTCCGCACAAAGCTGATTCTCGCGCCTTTTTGTCCCGCCAAGGCATCTGTGGCATTGAGTATACTACTATGCCTCTGAGCCAAGCGACATCCTCTTGAAAATTGCAATTCACTGCATTCGTTGACATGCAATCTTGTCTCTTCAAGACAGGCGATTGGAGACTCCAGTTCCGCTACTGACAGCCTGATGTGTCCTAAGTGACTTACGACACATTCCTGTTGGCCAGTACTCATGCGCTTCGAGTTAAGCAGGTGAGACGTCAGGCAGTCAAGTAAGTTTGGTGACACATGTCTGGGCAAAAGCTATGTGAAGCAACCTGTGCTGTCAACAGTACACGGTCATGAATGGGCATGCTGGGAATTATGTCCGTTGGCTGGCTTCATAAAACTCACCGTAGCCAATAAGTTGTAGCTTTAGCAATATGAGCAACATTCAAAACAAGGATAGCAACAGGCACGAGCCAGACTGGCGGTTATGAGGGCATTATGACAATGTCGAGAAAGGTCTCGCGCAGCAACTGCCTAAAAAGTAGATGATTTATGCTGATGCATGCCATGTTGTAGCACTCCATCCAGGTAACTTCTGCACTCTGTTACGAAGGGAGAGCGTGCTTACGTCATGGCATTTCGATCTGATTTCAGTTCACTGACTCTTTTATGAATTCGCTTCATCGACTTTGCCCAGAATAGCTTTGGTGGACTTCAACTGCTTCCGCCTTAGATACCCTAAGCTATCAGTGAACTTCATTGGATTGTATAGCTCCCGGATAGCTTGGGGGTTAACAGAATAAGGCTTTGCACATTTTGTACTAAGGCAAGGCGCAGTGAGAGGCTTCGCATACTGTAGAGGCGGGTGTGAGCGTGTGGAAAAGCTGCGCGCTCAGGCTGGACCACCAACTAGTGTAAGAGCAAGACGGCAGATCGACGTCCTGCGTCTTCATGGAGCAGAGCAGGTCTGCGTAGTTAAAGTTATTGTAAAGTTCAACGATGCTGGGCCGCGTTGTCTTTGACAGCTGCGCCCAAAATTGACTGGGAGGAGCCCTTCGCTGAACAGAATACTCTGCCCTGCGTGTTTTGATTCCTTACATGTTGCCAATGCTTAGGCTCTCTTCAGGCTCTCCTCGTCACCACCAGCTGAGCAAAGCAGCTGATCGGAAGGCCGCAATGATACGCAATGGGCCAACAGGACAGGCCATGCTTCTAGCATGCTCTCTCTTGTATTGCAGTGGCAACCTGGTCTGCCGTAGGAGTCACACTTCGTCTGCACAGATCGGGCGGACCTGAGTCATGCAAGCAATCGAATCGCAGCAGCAGCAGCGTCTCGGACTTTGAACAGCCTACAGAGCTTTGACTTGTCAGTTTTGCCACAGCGAGGACGAAAGCTCGGTATGTGAGCATTGGACCTTGAGACTGACTTTGAACGATCAAGTTATTTGCTATAGCATACCCATTCCGCGAGATTTTTTGAATCCATGTTCAAGGCTCTCAAGCTCAAGGGATTCTCTCACTCCACGTGAAAATGCTAGGCTGAATATGAAACTCTAAACCTCTGCACAGAAACCCTCTCGTACTGGTCGATCCTTTCCTGGAGGAGCTTAGCTGTGGCCTGGAGAGGTGGTGCAGATGCCTGTCCTGGCCAAATCATGTCTGGCAGCTTGCGAAACAGAGTTTGGATGTGCCTTGGCTACAGAATTCCCGGCACCAGTTGCAAATCGCAGGAAACAATCGCGGCAAGGGAGCAGCCCAACCCTCCATCCCCAAGACAATTCCTCTTTACTCCTCAAAAGTTCAAGTGCCCTGCCTGCAAGGACTTTGCACACCTCGGCCAGTACGACGTGGAGATGGGAGAACTCATCTGCGGCGTATTTTCGGAGGTTGACGATGTCCTGTGCCGGCTGCTGAAACAAGAACAGGCAGCATGATTCCATTGCCGCTCCTGCTGAGATTTACGATGTTCTGCCCAACCAGGAGCCTTGCTGGGGATGATAGGATTTCCTGCCCTTCCCCTGAGGCAGTGAAGTGAAGGGTGGGAGCCTATTTCACTTTTGAAGGAGGGGGGCCTGGAATAAGGCTCACAGCATCTTGCAGTGCCTGGTGTCTGGTGTCCAAATAAACTCTTCGTAAGTCTAATGTCCGACTCTTCCGGTTTGCGAAGGGAGTCTTGAACTAATGCGTTAGGCCGCGCAGAAGAACTACCGCCGTGAATTTCTGAGCATGGCGCACCACAAGTATTGCAATCTGGACTCAGCATGGCCCGTCCTTCACGGTGGTTTGGTTTGACCCGCGGAGCAGTAGCATGCCCTCCAAGAATTCTCCGAAGGTCAAGGGCTGGCCATCCTGCATGAGGGAGGTTTGATACATGTACATGGCTCCTGCGGGCTTGAACAAACGCCTGTAGGTATGAAGTGAGGTCAAACATGTACATACCTCATTCTCTCTCGTACGCATTGGTTTGCAGAGTCAAGCGGTCTCATGGCATGCGGAAAGCAACGCGGCAATGACATGCCAGGAGTTGCATGTCGTAGCATAATGTGATGTGCCTCCCTGAGGCCCGGGAAGATGGGGAAGCTAAAAGAGAAATCTGTATGACCTTTTGTGCTTGAAGACAGCCCTCCCAATTTTGGATGTGCTGCATGCTTGTGCAAGCCCGTGACTCACATGTAATCCTCACTGGCGTCACCTGTGAGCAGCTAGATCCTTCAATCTAGTTTGTTCACCTTTTGCCGCCCCCTAGCGCAACCTTGAAGAAGATCTGATTCCGGCCACAAAAAACAGATCTACACAGCTGCACATACACACAGCATGAAAATTTGCTCTCTCGTTCAGCTGAACAACGATGACCCCCCGACCCGGCAGTACTCAAGCTTGCCAATCCTCAAATAGAAGCTTTCCGTATTCGACAGCGGCAGTGTTGTCCACACCGAGTCGTGTCAACGCCTTCCTGGGCAGCGTTGCAGCTAAGGCCGGACACACAGCTGACTCTGAATCTGCATTTGGTTGTGCCTCTGAATATTTTTGGAACATACCTTTTGTTTTGGGGCAGTGTCAGCACAGCTCAAAAAAGCCTCCAAGGCCGAACTGTATGATGCAGAAAAAGAGCTAGTGCCTACAGGACCTAGACTAATGAATGAAGCTTGCTGTGCAGCATTGTCCAAGTCTCGAGGCCTCTGGCGTCTCCAAGAGCTTCAGAAATTCCTGCCCGTCACCAAGAAGACTTGAAGCTTTCATGACTAGAAATGTGCTGACTTACAGAACTTGGCTCAACCGTTTAACGCAAACTGCAAGCAAACTGTGAAGTCATGATTGAGTGCCCGCACGTGATCTATGACGAAACAGCTGCTGAAGCTGTCCTGCTCTGAGATCAGGTTGTCGCCATCCGAATCTGCACCCCCGCTGTCCAGCATCTCCCACAGCACTCGCTTTGCGAAATCGATATGAATCCTTACATGGAAGATGGAGCTCAGGCCTGACTGTGCAACAACTCCCGCGCGGCCCCGTCTGCAAGAAAGGCCATGCTGCATGATGTTGCCGCCAAGGGCTCTGCTCATGCTCCACAGTGGCGACCGTTTGAACTGCTTCGACCAAAACACCAACCTCAATTCATCTCAATTCATGGCGGCCGCTTTCGCAAGGCAAGAACGCAAATCGCATCGAAAGGGCTGTGACAAGCTTCACAGACAGATTTGAACTCATTCTAGACTCATTCTCATTAGGCTGAACTGATGCAACTTCGTGTTGCGTGTGCTGTCGTGAGGACAAAAGGAACCAACCTGATGCCAGTATGGTTTACATCCCACTTACCATGCTTTGTTCTAGCAGGGCTGACCTGCCCCCACGTTGACAGAAGACGCTGCCAACTTGCGCCATCTCTGCAACTGTACCGCTTAAAAGGCTTAAAATCAGTCTTCAGACAGCGGCACCAGCATATTCATCACGATCAGCGAGGCAACCAGGACAAAAATTAGCACAAGGGCACCCAGGCCCCATCCGCCTTCACGTGCGCGCTCTCGCGCAGAAACCCTCTCTATCACTGGAGATTGCCGTGATTCATGGAGACAGTACGGTGCACTTTAAAGTGGGACACCGGCTTGAAGTCCCTGATATGCTTCCGAAACGTCACAAATGCTTTGGGTACAGTGACCTTTGCCGAGCTTCCTAAAGATAGTGTTTATCAAGTAGAAAGGTTCGCATGTTTGGAGCATGTTTGCAGACACAGCTCCAGCCTTCGTCACGAACCTTTTCGTAGAAGCCAGCTTGGTCGGGCATCACGCTGATGATGACCAAATTCAGGACGGTGACAGGCACGGAGGAGAATTCATTTTGATCGAGCGGCGTCTCCTGTGCGAGCTGTGTGAATGCTATGCTGAAGACATACGTAATGAGCAGGAGCAACACCAGGGTGAAAAAGACCGACCGCGCAGCCACCATCAGCCCCTTGATGAGAATCATCAATTCCGGCATGTAGCGGGCGACTCGGATTATCCTTGCTGTTCGTAGGACTCGTAGAACTCGAACAGTGCGAAACGCTGAAGCACTTCGACCCATGCCACTGCCAGCCCCGGCAACGCCCTCGATGATCATGTCCACAATAGGTATGAGCCATGTCTCCACAACCATGATGATCACCAAGAGCAAGTCGAACCAAAACCAGGGATCCTTGCTTTTTGTCATGCGCTGAACGAACCACCAAGCAAGCCTCAGACCTTGTAACCTTTTGTTTCGGAAAGCTGGCATCACTAGGCTTGGGCTCCGGCCTTGAAGGCTTCCTTCGTGGTTTGGTATGACATATACCTAATGATCAGCTCGCCAGTGAAGTAGATCAAGAAGAAGACCTGAGAAACTACACTCAACCAGTCGAAATGTGTTGACGGCTTCTGCACACACTGGCAACCCTAGTATCGGTTGTGCCTCAACGACAATGAAGCCTGGGTCGGCCTGCTCATGAGATAAAGCTTGGGATGCTATGCAGATTCGGAAAAGTGCTCCATGTTTGGACTCGGCATTGCTGCGGCAATGCTTTATGAGCCCTGAAACCTCGCATGTGCCTCACGTCAAGCCAGCAAACCTTATGCAGGGAAATGCAGCCTGCAGCACAATGAGCGACTTGTTAAACTCAATGTCCAAGGCAATCCAGATGGCATTCAGGTAAATCATCCTCGGTCGATGGATGCTCATCGTTCTGCCATCCCCCAGCTGCTCCACGTGACCTATCTTCTCATCTCAGGAGAATTAGCAGTTCAGCTAGGAAAGTCACTCGCTGACATTATAATAGCTGCACATCCTCTGGCGGCCCGGATCTATGTTTGCTTGTAGATTAAGAAAGTCTTTTCGCTCCGAGCCTCCAGGCCCGAAGCTTGGACACTGTCATTTCCCAAAGCCGTCAGTTACTTGCATGGCCTCCTGAAGGCTTGAACCTTTCAGGCCGAAACCTCAGTATTGGCTTTTAGCTTCTGAAATGCCACGTCAAACTGCGCTTCATACGTAAGCAATCCAAGTGCTCAAATGCCTTTCAGCACTCGAAGCCCAAATGGCTCTCACAACATCAAAACTTGCACTGCATGCTAATCTCCAGGACTCCATTTTTTGGGACTGACTAACCGCGCTTGGAAGGCAACATCGCGGTTTAGGTTCTGCTTGAAAACCTCAAGGAAAGTGTCTGCTGGGCATCAGCGGCGAACCATGTTGGGCCAGAGCAAGGCTTGCATGTCTCCTTTATGCCAGGCGCAAGGCCTCCAGCCCGGTGAATCCCAGTTTTTCCCTGTGCACTCATGATACACAGAATTGCAACAATAGAGCAGCTGCGGCTCGCAAGGCCAACGCGCTCGAAGTGTGGGCTGCGCACCTCGGATTGGCAGAGCGCATTTGCGTGCAAAAAGCATGTCGTCCCTCGAGCAATTGCAAGGGATTGGTACCGACATCCAGCTAGGACGAAGCCAAGATTACCATTAATCATCATCCAACATGTCTTCAAGCTTGCACTCATACATTCTGTTGTTTTCCTACCTTCTTCAGACAGATTGAGGTACAAGCGAGGTGGGCCTAGCCTCCCGATTTAGTATCAAAGCTTTCTACCCAAGCAGGCGGGGGACCACCCTGCTCCAAAGGCTTTCTTCAGGAAGCCTTGATTGGGCGCGAAACCCCGCGATGGCATTCTTCCTGAACAGCTTCTGGCATTAAAAACTAGCAGCTAGATCGCTAGCAATGTGTTTGATGCTCTTCAATGTTGTCCAGGCTTTTGCAGCTTGCTGTCGGAAAGCATGTATCTAATAACTCCCGTGCAGTGAGCCGCTTGACATCTTTTGTGCACCACAAGCCTTTTTGCGACTGATGATAAGCTCAATGAGATGTCAACGGAAGCCAACAGCAGACAAGCTAGGCCGCAAGACTTAATCGTGTTGTGCACCTTTAAGCCAGAAAGTTTGACATGCTCCCAACTCTGACAGACTCCGTGTCCTCAACTGCTCCACCGCGTACTCGGAGTTCAGCTGTGAGAACACTCGCCTCGGGTATGGAGTAGTTCCGCGGGTCTAACCATTTGCTCATGCGATCATGCAGGCCTCTGAACGGCGGAACTCTAACGCAGCGGAATCCTAGCGCATGGCAGGATATCAAAACATTTCGCAATACATAACAGCCAGCCGCAGCCGAACAGGATGTGCACCTGATCCCTTCACGCACCTGCACTTGCAAAAATCCTCCCAAAATCAGACTCGACGAAGATGGTCTCTTCTACTTCGTTGTGGTACGTGTGATGCCCATAATGTTGGATCCTGATTAGTGTAGACCCCGCCAAACGAAAATGGGTCCCTGTTTAGCAAGGTGAGGGGCCCCCAAAACAAATGTGGATCTGGGTTTTAGCGCAAATTCAACAGTAGGGCGCAGCTCAGCTAAAGACTTGGAATAATTCGGAAGGCGTTGAGAATTGTTCAGGAGCGATTCGGAAGGATTTCAGACCGGTTTCAGAAGAGTTCAGAAAAGCTTCGGATTGGCCCAGACGGATTCTCATATCAGATACTGATTGAGATGAAATATGGTTGAATTCAACAGGAGATCTCAGTAGCTGTTTTCAATATATTCGATATTATTCAATAGCACGAGCATTGCAGAGCTCAGTAGTTGCTTTGGATTAGATTCAGCAGGAAGGCTTAGTAGTTGTTTAAACTAAATTCAATAGGAGGTGCTGCGAAGCTCAGTAGCTGTTTACAGTAAATTCAACAGGAATTACTCTCTGGAATCCCTAGGAGCCCGAAAATTCCGGGTAAGTCAGCATCCCCAAAACCTTCTTGTTATTGAGGACCTGGGTAGCTGTTGGACTACCCCCTTGCAAAACCTGAAATGTTGAGCTTCGATATCTTTGAAGCCTTGTACTGGTCCGTAGTTCCAACAAGAAGAGATTGGATTAGGGCCTCAGTACATGAGGCTAACAGATTAGGAAAACCCTGCCCGCAGCCTGCCCGTGCCTTTGAACGCAAATTAGAGTTAGCTCACGTTGCTAACCGCTACAACTCCAAAAACCATTCAGGCCTGCGCAACTTCGCGCAAATCAGCACTCCCAAACGAATCGAAGGGTGCTGAATAATTTCGCCGAAGCTTCGCACCAATCAGAACCCGCACGCTAATCGGGATCCGACTTTAAGTCTGACCAAGACACTTGTCCTCCTCATCAGATGTTGTTGGAGTACCTGTGGGCAGAATTTGTCCCTCTTCAGGAATGCCCTGGATATCCAATTCAGCAACAAGACGGTGTAAGCTGGCATGTTCATTGCGCCCCATCGCTGCCGCACTAGATGAGTGCTAAGATTAGGCCAGAGGAGGGATAGCAGCAATGGGAGGGGTGAGCCGGGATCTGGGCACACCAGGAGAAGATTGGTACACTGGATGAATTACAGATTGAAACGGTCTCTTCATCAATGGTGCCTTACCGCAGTCTTGTACATCGGAATTCCCACTGTGCTTGTACTGTTCACCTTTTCTGCGGCGCAACAAACCAGGCATGAAATTGTTCCAGACCCTTGGCCTATGGCTTGGTGTTGCTGCTGGTCCGGCTGCTTCTCCGGCAGCTTTTCCATCACCGTCGTCTTCCTGAACATGGAATTAGGCTCGGCAAGTTTTGTGGATGGCATGCTTCAGATTTTGAGTTAGGGCTTCGTGTGAGAGCGACAGGCACGCAAAGCTGCTCACCTCAACTTCAGTTGTGGGGAAAATCTGAAATCCGCCAAGGGCAACACGGCAGCGTTGAGATTTGCGACATGAACCTTCTTCTGGCCAGTCTAGCTGGGTGGACTTGGATGGGCCTTTTCACAGTTCCCAAAAAATGGCTGGGATTGAAGCTGCGAGGCCAGAACAAAGCAACCGCATACACAGCAACACAGCACTTCTAAAGCAAGCCCCAGATGCTGCTTGTTGATCCAGGGCATTCGCTTCTTGCGCTGTTCAGCAACGGACCTTACAGCTATCCCCGCTTCTCTGCTTCTCGCTTTTCAAATTTCCTTTCTTCTTCTTCTTCCTCCTACAGCTCTACGTCCTCCTCTATGCATTCATCCTTGCTGCTGGCGACTTTCCGCAAGGACCTTCTGCAATGCCTAGGGCCCAGAAGGAGACTTTGCTAGCAGCCGCGAAGCTGGCAAGCCCTGAAGGTGACACAGGGAGGGTATGGATGATCAGGTCCAGAGCAAGTGGTGCGTCCTGCAAAGGCACTACCTATGCCAAGCCTTCACGTGACGCCCTGCTTCACGACATGTCTTACACCCTGCATGCCGCTCACTCCACTCCACTCAAGCCGCATGAAAACTTCTCCACGCTCCACACTCAAATCCTCTCCAGTCGAGAGTCTACTCCACACCCCACCGGCCCACACTCACCTCCACTCCACCTACTCCTGATCCCAGCAGCGTGCGGCTGCATCAAAGCCAATGCTGCTTCCGCACAAAAACACACAGCATGCACCTCTAGCCCATAGTACGTCTCATCTTGCTGCTATGTGACCATAGTTGCGAGAGTGTAGATCTTGGATCTGCAGGGGCATCTTCGTCGCTGTCAAGGGCGCCAGGAAGTGATGCCTTCGGCGATGTTGTTGCAAGCGTGTTCGTCCTCATTTCAGGCGTTGGGCAAATGCGGAGGTAAATGCTGGTACGACTTGCTAGTATGTGGCCTGGCCCCATGTGGCAGCCCTATGATTCCTCACGTGATATTATTCCACCCAAACCTCCAGTCCTGGCCGAACCGTCTGCCCATGCTCGCGTAGGCGTCGTTGGGGAAAGGGGCTGTGGCGACCCTGGAACGAACTCGTGAGCCTGAGCAGGCCCAATATCTGGCCTCTCCCTCTTACACTCAAACTAAGCCACCAGCCTCAATAACAACATTGGGGCATGCTCTCACCCAAATATGTCATGCTCTGGGGGTTGGAGCTGCATATCACCTAGCTGGAAGTCGCTCTGTTTTGCAATTTTCCCGGGGAGGGTGGGTTTTGGCTCGCAGTAATTGAAGAAAACTCGACACCCATTTGGGAGAGTTTGCCTGGGGCTTCATCTGCCCTCAGCCTTCGAATCGCAGCAAAATCCCTGTAATCAGGGCGAATGCACCTCCCGAAATGTTGCTGGCAGAGGTGGTTGCGTGTTCTTTTTGACTCTCTCGAGCTCCATGTCAAGCTTCTTGAGGACCTGCTTCCTAAGCTTCTGCCAGGCAAGTTCCCACGCGTCCCGTGGTCCTAGATGCAGACCGAATTAAGCCGGAAAACTGGTATGTGATTGGCATTCTTACTCAGGGCCGCAGCTGACCAATTCAAGCAGCACTGCAACTGCATGTAGCGTATTCAACTGGACTGTCCCAGCTCAGTACATGTGCTGCCAGAGACGTTTAGTTATGTTATCTCTGTCAGACTTCCTAGACAGTGACCTTGGCTGGGTGCACGCTTTATTATTCTTGAAGAAGCTTGAGCTTTAGACGAGGCAAGTTGACTCTCGCTTCGCCGGGCTTCTGGGATGCCACGAGCTCAGCTCGAAGACTTGTAAGGCTGTCCACGACTCCTCTCATGAAGTGGTGGCCAGGGACCACCAGCTTCTGTGAGGTGATCACCATGTTCGAATGCGGTCCGGAAGGTTGACTAGGTGCAACCCAACAACAGTTGGGCTAAAGGACATGGATGAGCAAGGAACGCACTCTGAGCATTCTTTAATTCTAGATAGCTCTCTTCCTGGTGTGCGTTCACAGGATGGTACCACTCTGAGCTGTCCTTTCATGGGGCCAGCCAGGGTCTGTGGCGGTTCCTTGGGCCCCTTCATGGCGCTACAACCCACCTGCCAAACCCAGCTTGTGCGCGTGGTAAGCCCCGTTTAGCCTGACTACTGAGCCCAATATCCGGGAAACTGTCACGATGAGCTGCGCGCTTGGGCCGTATGGGGCTGCGGCCGCAGATGATGCCCTGCAAGTCTGCAGAGGACCAAGATCGTATTGCTGATGAGGACAATCAAAAAATGTGAACAAGTCGCACATCATGCGTGGATGACGAAGCTTTCACCTAGATGCTTCCCGAAGTGATGCTCCAGGGTGCTCACTTCTGAAATCCAAGTCCACGAATAGAAATGCTTTCTGACAGCTGACATTTTCTACCCGACATGCCGGCTCCATATAACTACTCGCTTGCAAGCCTTGCGCTCGCCTTGCCGCGGAAAGCCATAGCTAAAGAGCAAGAGCAAGACGGCCCTAGAGTCCTAGAGCGGCTTCCATGCCTTTGCTGCAACACGGTATCGCGCGCTGCAACCGACACCCTCAGGTCTGCGGCTAGCCGGTTAGCTCGTCACGCTTTGACCTGGCATCGGCACTGAGCTGAGGTTTCATGCCTTTTTATGCTCCTCTTGAGGCTTGATGCATCCCAGTCAAAAGTACTTGCACATCATGCGAAAGTGATCGCATGTTGCGACTTCTTGGCTCTTGGGAAAGGTACTTTGCTTCTGCAAGCATGAGGCCCAGGGGAGGATGAGCAGGGCACACAGGGGTTACAGACTTTTGTTGCTGCACCGAAGCCAACACCAGCATCATCTGCAAATGTACTGACCCTCATTCCGTTTACTGGGCAAAAACATGTACGAGACAACCGGCAACAAATTTTGCTGCATGTCTGCTGCCCACATCTCACTTTGGAACACTGGCCTCAAGCTTCAGCGTTCCGCGCCCATGAACGTGGGGGCGGATGAAAATAACAATGAAGCCTGAGCTTTGCGAGCATGCCAACGTAGGAACCAACTTGTGGACCCCACCACTACATGCGCTTCATCCCTGCCAAACAGTCCCTGATCTTTGCAAGGCATCCATGCATGCCAAACTAAAAGAACCATTGCCGCGCCACCCTCCCCGGCTCCGGGCGATCATGTGGCAGTGCGTGATGTTGCCTTATGAAGCAAACATAGCAAGATATAGCAAGCATCTATCGCACAAGTACACCGAGTCATATGTGCCTGCGTCAGGAAAATTGCTCGGGCAAAAGGTAGGTTCTTGCACGTTGCAGGCAGCTTTACGTTGAAATGCGCAACTTTGACCTGAACTTGCCTGTGCAAGAGTCTTCTGCTGTCTCTTGCGCGCTGACCGAAAAGCCACTGTAAATGTCGAACTATGCCAAGACCACTGTCCAGGTCCAGCCAAAGAATGACAGGCACAGCCGCAGGCTGGGTTGCTACAGGGGTTGAACATATTCCTTTTCAAGAGGCTATGGAGAGGTCTCCAGGCCCTTCATATTTAGGTAGAACATATTCCTGTCGAAATCTAGACAATGCTGGCTGGCCAAGCTGCGTGTGCAACACTTGTTCGGGCACTGCTTGCAAGTTGGCAGGTCACATCCTGCGCAGGCTCAAGTTTATCAGGGCAGGGCTAGTGCCACTCGCAGGCACGAAACAAACCAGCTCATGGCACTGACGACTTTCATTAGCCCAGGCAGCCCCAGTAAGGCAGGACCAGCTGCCTAAATCCACACGCCTGAAAGCCGCCAAAAACACCAAGGTGCATCCGACCCTCCACTAGTGTTGGTAAGCAGTGATGCGTCTGGTGCTACTTGCGGACTTGAAGCCCCGGCCTGGATACGGACACTTGCCAGAAGGTTTGGCTTCAGCTTCCTGGTTGCAAAGCGAAGCAACGAACTCACGAAGAAGCGAGATTTTAAGCCTGTCCAAGCAGAGCTGTACAACTTTAGTCTCATGAGCAGCGAGGGATGTTGTTGCTTACTTGACGCCTGCTTGCGTTGACCAACTGGGGGCTAGATTTTGGATTAACCACAATCTGTGGTCAATGTCTGGCACCAAGCCGCCCTTTGTGCTTTCAATCGAGCATGGGATAGTAAAGGTGTACCTGATAAACACCTTGCGCGCCGAGTGGCAGTGGCTGCGTTGTCCTCTCCACCCTTGTTCTTCATCTTTCCCCCGCTCCTATCAGGCTGGAACAGAGGTGGCTGCATCGAACAAGGTGCATGGTGGAGGCGAGAAATCCTGGACAGCTTGCTAAGCACATGTTACAGATACGTTCGGCTGCCACATTTGACACATGTGAGGGCCGAGTAGAGCGAAATTTCCCAGGTTTTGCTCAAAGCTTCGCGAAGCCTCCTCTCAAAGAAATAGCGCACGAGAAGGGCAGCAGCAACGTCTGAACCATCCCGTGAAACCACCCATTCTAACTTTTCAGCATCTCATCCAGCAGAGCTGCTCACGTTGCTGCAGCTCGCTTTCTGCCTCGGTATGAAATGCAAATTCAATGCTAGAAGTCTGCTTCAGATGTTATGCGAGAGGGGGTGTGCGCAGCTTGGAGAAGTCTGGCCGCTGGCCGCTTCTGTGTCCAACAATCCACGGAGGGTGTATGTGCACAACCTGAGCTTGCAAAGGCGGACCCTCCCAGCCTGCTCTCTTCCTTGCTGCAACTTGATGAGCGCTTCTTTGCAGAGACCCTCAGACCCGGGATTCTTGTCCTTGGATGCAAAGGACAGAGCTCATCAACACCTTTTTGCATGAGTTTCATCTGCTGAATATCATGAAGATAACCTAGACACCTGTTCCCCACATCTGCTGATCTGCTCTTGACAGTCAAATGCCAAGCAAAGACGCTGGATGAATTTGAAGTGCGATCTTTCTGTACGCCGTCCGAATCTCACTCGCCTTGCGCTGTACACTTAGTAGTGCCGCGTCATCGCATGGGGCATTATCTGGGGTAAGTACAAAGAGGACTCAAGTCTTGGCAAGCCTGAACAGAATCTTGGGGGAATCCATTCTTCATAGGTTGCAGCTGCATGTCCTGTGGCGGAAAGCTGATACAGTGGGAGTCTACGCCTTTGCCGTGCTATGGCTGCTATGGAAGATCTGCAATCCCAGGAGCATTGGAGTGATACTGACTGCAGAGTTCAAAACCTTTTCTATATTTCTGGGCGTACGTGAAGCCACCACCATCTGGAGAGCTGACGGCGATGAGGCTTTTGTCTCAAAGGCTTTTTGATATTGCTGCGTGCCTTGCAGGTGGCACCGAGACCAAGCAGCTCGAAGGGCTTCCTTGGTTTCTTGTCCCCGAGCTCCAAAACGGCATCTGGACAGGCATTGCAAGAACATAGACTAATGCGCGGACGAGATTCTCTGATGGCGCAGCAATGATCCTGCCAAAGTTGGCATGGCTCTGATGCATGGCCATGCCCTTTTGTGGCTTCTTGTGTCAACAGCTTGGCCTATATAAGGTTGCTTAAGTGAAGCTGCAAGCGTGGCTGGACGAGCCGCTCCCTCAGACAGGCTCGGCTGCACCGTCACTTGTGCCCACCCATTTCCTGTCACTTGTGCCCACGTGTCGGGGGTGCCGGGGGGTAGGTGGGGAGGGGTGGGAGGCATGACGACGTGCTTCACACGCTCTCAAGGGTGGGGGGGGCTAAGGGGACGTGCTTCACACACGCTCAGGCGATTTTGCAACCCTATCAACTCAAGTCCATCGAGTGGGGGGTAGCGGGCGGATAGGGGGAGGGGGCGGCTAGGGGGGGGGGAGGGGGCGGATTGAGGGGGATGATGATTTTTGACGGACTTTGCTGAGTTCCACAGGCCAGAAAAAGGGGGATGCGGGTATGGGGGGGTATAATGACGTGCTTCCCGCAGGCGACTTTGCAGTCTGCAGCCATTGGGCAGGCCATGGAGTGGGGGGGGGGAGGATAATGGGTCAGGCGACTTTGCAACCCTACATTCCTGGTTTAAACTCCTGGAAGTCATCCCCGGGTGTAGCTGTGGCAACTACTAAGGTCTTACCTATGACTTGTATGAGGTTGAGGAAGTATGCAAGATATTGGGTTTCAGGTCGTTGATTTTGTTAGTTGAGGGCTTCAGGTTGCGGGTCAAATTGGGCTGTCTTTGAAAATGGATGGCCTTGTCACATACTCACATTAGCCGTCATGAGCTCATAAGCCAACACCGCGTGTTGCCGCGCTCTCCTTCGACGCTCCGATAATCGAAGCCAGCTGGTGTCTCTGTTAGGATAGCTATAATGATATCTAGGTACGCGCATGCATACCCTACATGAACGAACTCAGTAAACTGCAAGTGTTGTGTTGTCAGCACTGAAACAATCTGCTTCAGAACAGGGTCATACCACCTGTTGAGCAAAGAGGGGTTTCTTCTAATCAGGGGGGACCTTAATACCAAGGAGTATCATATTTACCTATTTTGGGAAACTACCACATTTTGCAGATTCCGTGTATACTTATGGTACAATTAATTAGGGTACCTCAAATAGACCTTAAATCATATTGCGCTTTAATGCGCTTTATTTAGGCCCCCACAGCAGATTTTTGCCAGACATTTTCCCAGCATCGGGGCTGTTGTTGGGTAGGGGCTTGGATGTGCAGACTGCGAGTGGGGCATGGGCTTTTTGGGAACTGGTGTGGTCGTGGGCCAGCTTTGTGGCACCAAAGCTTGTGGGATACGCTTGGCTCATGGTTCAGGATCCCTATTTATCCCTATTTTCAGAGAAAGGGAGAGGATGGTACAGTGGTTGAGGAAATATATGACTGTTGAATATTCGAACCCTTGAGGGTAACCACTACTGTTCTTTGCAACTATATTCAGGCTCCCTTAACCCGAAACCCTATGTTGGAGTTTGAGACTTGATGCTGAAGGCTTACAGGCTTAGAGTTTAGATGTAGGGGCTTTGGGTTGAGGTACCTGTTGGCTTCAGATTTCCAAGCCTGAAACTAAACCCTCACGTCTAGGCTTCTCGAAGCTCACCATACCCTCAA